TCCCTACATGCATGGACCGAGCCTCGGTCCACTTCTGGAAACGGTGGTGGTCCAGCCCTCAATCCCATCAGGTGAGAAGCAAATTCCACTTTGCAACTTTTCAACACAAATCCCAAACCATAGAAAGCAGTATCCAATTAAACATACGTGTAATTCTCTTTGCGCAGACAATTCTGAGAACAGCTACAGCTACTTTGATGAGTGCACCAACCAGCTGACTCCAGAGAGCGACCACGGCTACGACTCTCTAACTGAGAGCTTTCAGAGTTCCCACACTGGTGCGTGTCGCCACAGAACTCTGCTAATCCGTTAAGGCCAAGCATCCCAAAGTTCTCTTGAAGTCTGAACGCTCTTTTCTTTGGTATGTCCTCTACAGGTAGCTTCCTGAACCCAAGCTCACCCGAGTCCAACAGCAGCGACTCCGACCCAGAATACTCAGAGATGCATTACTCCACCAGCACTAGTAAGTTCCTCCGATTCTGATCCTAGAGGGTTACCTACCTGCAGAAGCTAGTTTCAACCTCAGTCAAACACACCTGAACCAGCTAATCAAGGTCTTTACTTGGCAGTTACAGGCAGGTTGAAACCTAACTCTGCAAGGTGGTGGCCCTCAAGCAGCAGGTTTAAATGGAATAATAAAGTAGGGAGTACCCAAATAGACCCATCTAACGTTTGACTGCGTTCTTTTCCACAGAGAACTTTGTGAAGCAAGAGTCAGTAGAGACAAAGAAGAGAGGTAGAGGACGACCCCCAAAGCCCAGGGATAGTGAGGGATATGAGCACTTCATTCAGCCCAAAAAAAGCAAACACGGTGAGTACACAGAACTCTTCTAGTTTGAAGAGGTACCTGATGCTCAAGATCAAGTGGCGTCTGCCAGTAGGTACCACTGTATTAAACTAGACTCTACTGCTCCATTGCAGCTCCAAGAGGAACCCACCTGTGGGAGTTTATCCGGGACATCCTGATCCATCCGGAGCAGAACCAAGGTCTGATGAAATGGGAGGACCGCAGGGGTGGCATCTTCAAATTCTTGAAGTCCGAAGCTGTTGCTCAGCTCTGGGGGCAGGCAGACTCGTCTACAAGTTCGGGAAGAACTCCACCGGTTGGAGAATGGAGGAGACCGGATATTGAAGTGGACCTGTCAGTCAAACCTAGAGACTTTGTACTCCTGCAAATGAGGAACTTTAGGCTGCTCTGAAGATCCTCTCTTTAGAAACACGCTCTTCCCGGAGGGAAAAGGTTTCACAGAAACTGTAAGCCAGAGTTTTGGCTAAAGTAGGTTTTATGAACCGGTAAAAGTTGTGCATGTCTGGTTCGAGCGGCACGCGGGCGTGGCCTGGATCAGATAGCATTGCTACATCACTTAAAGACTCTATGTAAACACTTGTTCTACACAATGGTTGAACTGTTAGTGAATGTAAAGCTTTTTAAAGGCTCTCTGGTTTTGGGAATTGAAGTTTCTTGTGTAGGTATTTATCAAACTATTTGTCAGAGCAGACTAACAGAAGAACACGTCGAACACGTCGTCTGTAACGTTCATATCTGCTGTGCTGATTGATATTTGTTCTACTGTATATAAATGTATGTATAAACTATATATTCTTTGTAATACTTGTCAATCAAGTACAAATCAGATATATCAATTTCTCTGTGATTTGTCAAATCACTGGATAATGTGTATGAGGTTTGCCTCTCAGATGTTATAACTATTATGTATGGCATTTATTTGCAGTTTTTTTTGTATAAGCCTTTTCTAAAATAAAATTTCTGATTAAAAGTCGTTTATCTTGCATTTATGCCTCACCCTCCTGAACTACGTTCTACTCAGCCTTATTTCAACATTTACTTTATAACTGCTTAATGTGCTCAAGTATTCTTATCAGAGATCACAGATGTGTTGTAACGTGACTTTCGTGTGAAGTTCAAAACAAATATGCAGCAGAATGCGGGGCGAATGCTATTTTTATGCATCTCAGATTTCAATGCAAATCCATTACAGAATGATTCAGCTGATTTTTACTTGAATTCCAACACGTTTCTTCATCATGTTTGAAGTCTTGCTGGTGTTTTGGTGATTTTTTAAGTCAGTTCTCCTTAAGTTCACATAATAAATAACATTATTTTTACACATTTAAATGTGATTGCAAATACAACAAGGTTCATTTTAAATTGTAAAATGAAAACACATGATTCATTAAATGCCCATTTTTGTGCCGTTGTTTTGTTTCAGGCCTAGAATTTCCAAGCGATGCATTTGATGCAGTTTGACCTTTGCTTGAACTTGATCTCATTTTTCATAGCAGGTTTAGTTTTGCATTTTAGAGCACAAAGCAACTGTTTTTTAGAGGTCCGGCATTCAAATACATATGTTGCATTTGAATTTTGGATCAACATGCAACTAGATGAACAAGACAGAAACTGAGAACCATCGTCTGAATTCAAAGCAGTAAACAGTCTTTGAATTATATACATTTAATACCTGTGAGAGCTGCAGAAAACAGTCGGAAAACTCTTAATCTACCCTGGAATTATGGCCATCCGAGACGGTTAATCTGATGGTCTTGAACCGGACTTATCTTACGCTAGAATCCAACAAACCATCTCAGATCACCAGTTACGAAATAGAGAAGTTTCACTCCTGAATCCTTATAGCGTCATCATGTTTGGTGTGTTATTATGAGATCTTACAAAAAATAAAAAAATAAAAATAAAGAATTCATTTGTGTATCGCATAACCTAATTCAAGTGTGTTTCAGGTGTGCGCTGTTATACTTTCAGTTTTGAACAATACTATGTAACTATGCGCACGGTAAACATCAGGTGCTTTTGTCAGTTTGACCGTGACTCATGACTAACATTCCCTGTACACTCCTAAAAGCGCTTTGGTCATGGCTGAAATTACAGGCAAAAAACATTCAGGTCAAGAATGTTTTTTTTTGATAAGACGAGCAGGAAATGCCATTGAAGTCATCGGCTGCTTAACTATCTCTCACAGTTGCATTCAGTGCATGATGCTGTCGCTTAAATGCTTTAAAGTGCATGCTTCATTCACAGCATTGCTGCAAGCTGCACTAAATGCTCATTTTCTACTGTCAGCTTTCTCTTTTGGGTAAAACTATCATGAAGTGACCCCTGAAGAGAAGCTGCTGAGTGTGTGAAACAGAAGGGGGTTTATGAGGCATCAGATAAGAGCTCGTGTGTGTTTACTGCGCCCGCTGCCACTTCTCAAACGCCTGTCGAGTCTTGTTCGTTTGAAACGCCACATTCTTACAGTTCTCTGGAAGATGGTCAGTGTGTGTATGACATATTGATGCCAAATGAAACCCGAGAATACAGTAGAAACATCACAGAAATATTATTCAGAATTGTAGAGAATTGTTTTAATGCACCAAACATACAAACAATAAATAAATAAATATAAATGCATAAAAATTATAATTAACATTTCTGTTTTTGTAAAATTACTGCAAAGATAATAAATAAATACATGTATTATATATATTTTTTAAATTAAGTTATATCATTTAGAAAATCATATACAATTATAAATATTAAAATTATGTATAATTATGATACAAATAAAACATAAAAATTAAAATGCATTTAATATTAATTAAGAATTGCAAAAATGTTTCAGGATTGTTTGGTGTGTTCGGGTGTTTCGTCTGAGTAATTCATGTCCAGTAAATTAAATGATTCATTTAACAAGATACAATGTTGCAGTCACATGACTAACCAGACTGTAAACCAATCTGAACAACAACAGCAGCAGCAGCAGAAAATCTGGATTATTACTGAGTCAGACTCATGCAAAAACTAAGACAAGTGCTGGTATCAAAACATATTTTAATATATATAAACTACATTTTGCATTTTACTTTATAACTAACACATATTTTTCCAAGTTTTGTTTGCCAGCCGAGTTATAGAGAAGATTTAGTGTAGGTTATAAAGTTTCTGCAGTGTTTCTGTGTGTGTGAGGCTGGTTTCTGTGCGCAGCATGTGATCATGAAGCTCCGCCCACATCCTGTCGCTCCCATTATGATCTCATCGCACTGATTTGCATAAGTATGCAGGGATTTTCCCGCCTTCTCCCCTTCAACTTCCAAGTAAAATCCATGTAGATCAACAGCCCACACACACACACACACACTCTCTCTCTCTCTCTGTCTCTCTCTCTCACACACACACACACACACACACACACACACTCTCT